CCTCATTGACCCATTGAGCTATACTGGGTGATGCCTCCAAGCATCTTGAGAGCTACTCCTACCAGGTTGGTCAATGGTGAGATGTCAGACAAACTCAGTCTCCTGGTCCTCCAGGTTGGAGGTTTGAAATGGGATGGCGTCCGTTTCTGTAAAACTAAATCACTGCCACCCCGCTGCCTTGCAGACAGGCTTTTGAGCCAAAGGCTTTGGATGAGGACCCTAATCGTTCTCCTGCCTATGTCTGGGCTCCCTGGCAGTATCCCAGCCCACATACAACCATGACATTTTCTTCAAACATAAACTTCATCCTGCATCGGCCGTCGCGCAGATTATCAAGGGTCGCCTTATCTGCTGCATACAGCAAGGGGGATAAGCGAAAACATGCTACTGCTGGCGCCTCTCTTCTTTCTTTTCCACCTTTTTCTCTTACTCCCATCCCGGCCCCTATTACTAACCTTCCTTCTATAATTCCCAGCTTAATTGACAGCAACCGAAGTGCTACTGGAGTAGTACCATCTGCAGCCACCATCCCACAGCACCTATCGACAAAAGTCCCTTATAAGGCCACGCTGTCCCGTTTCCATAGCGACATTCAACGTCCGCACTCTAAGACAAACAGGTCAGCAGGCTGCACTCGCACGCACCTTGGACACACTGGGTTTTGATGTGTGTTGTGTGTCCGAAACTAGGATTAATGACCCTAACGGGGTTATTGAATTGACTGCACCCGGCTTATCCTCTCGTTATTGGTTGCACGCATCCGGAGACGCCTATGCGGCACTCACGGGTCAAGCTGGTGTAGGTATCATTCTCAGCTCCAAGGCTGAGTCATCGTTGGTTGATTGGATTCCGGTGAACAGCCGTTTATGTGCAGCTCGTTTGACGACATCAGCTAAGGTGAATTCGCGAAGTAAAACAAAACGCTGTTTGTTTGTGACTTCTGCTTATGCTCCCACCGACTGCAGTTCTAATGCAGTCAAGGACACTTTCTATCACGAACTGAACACGCTGCTACGCAGTGCTACTAGTTCAGATATTATAGTACTTGCAGGGGATATGAACGCACAAGTAGGGCGTCTGAGCTCTTCAGAAGCTCAGCTGGGTGGTAATTATGGACTTAACGCCGAACGGACTGACAACGGCGAGCGTCTGCTGCAACTGTGTGCGGAGCACCAGTTGTTTCTTACTAGCACTGCTTTTAGACACAGTGGGCGCCGAAGTGCCACTTGGCGTCCACCTGTAGCTGGCCAGCGATGGACCCAAATTGACCACATAGCCATAAGTTACAGGTGGCGCGGTTCCATTCTGGATTGCCGCTCGTACTGGAGTACCTGTGTCGACTCTGACCATGCCTTGGTGCGCTGTCGTTTCTCCATGAACTTTACCGGACGGCGCACAAAGCGTCTCCCCCGATTGGCAACGGAGAAATTGTCCCAGCCCTCTGTCAGGCAAGCCTATCAAGAAGCACTGCATAGCGAACTCTCACTGTCTTGTCCTAATGACACTGAACTTCAGTGGAATAGGATCTCGGCCACTATGCACGACGCAGGAGCATCTGCTTGTGGCACTATCCATGGACACCGCACCAGTCACTGGATATCCGAGAGGTCCGTGAACCTTTTGGAAGCTAGAAGGCACCTCCCGGCTGGTTCTGAACACAATGTGACCAGACGGGCTATTAGGCGTGAACTAAAGCGGAGCCTACGTGCTGACAAGGAAGCCTGGTGGACCAGTCGGGCTCAAGAAATGGAGGAGGCAGGAGCAATAGGCAATTACCGCAAGCTCTTCCAGCTAATACGCACCACTGGTCCGAGAAAACCAGGCGTCAGTGAGACAATCAGAGACAGCGCGGGTGCGCTGATACACAATAAGGAGCGCCGTATGGCTCGTTGGGCTGAGCGCTTTGAACATCAGTTCAACTGGCCCCCTGCTCCCGGACCTCTTCCTACTCAGGTGATGCAGGACGAGCCATGGACGGTTAGTTTAGAGGCTCCGTCGGAGGCCGAGGTCCGAAACGCGATCACAGCCCTCAATCGTTTTCGTGCCGCTGGCCCGGATTCCCTCCCACCTGCACTATTTAAGGATGGAGGTGAGGTCCTCTGCAAAGCACTGACCTCCCTATTCGAACGTATCTGGAACGAAGAGAGTGTGCCGGCTAATTGGAGCGAATCGATTATAGTGGCAATATACAAAAAGGGCAGTCGCACAGACTGTGCGAACCACACGGGTATTAGCCTAACGCCAGTTGTGACAAAATTACTGGCCTCGATTATCGTTCGTCGCCTCACTGCAGAACGGGAATCTCGGATTAGAGAAGAGCAGGCCGGTTTTCGCCCAGGACGTGGCTGTATAGACCATATATTTACTTTGCGACAGGTGCTAGAGCAGCGCCACGCATACCGCAGACCGACAATAGCTGTGTTCCTCGATTTCAAGAGTGCGTTCGATTCAGTCGATCGATCGATTCTATTCGAAATACTTGAGCGGAAAGGTGTTCCCACGAAATATGTGGACATCCTTCGTGCTCTATACTCGAACACTACAGGCCGCGTCAGGGTCTATGGTGCCCTATCGGATAGCTTTTCGACTACAAGTGGCGTTCGACAGGGTTGCCCGATTTCCCCGTTTTTGTTCAATTTCGTCGTGGATTCTATCATGGAGTGTTCCCTTGCGGAATCCAACGATGTAGGCGTTGAAGTGCTGCCTGGTGAAAGGTTAGTTGATCTAGATTATGAGGACGATATCGTCTTGCTTTTCGACAATGTTGAGGCGGCACAATCAACCCTGAATAGCCTATCCAGAGTGGTCCCATTATTTGGTATGCACTTCGCACCTTCAAAGTGCAAAGTGTTGCTGCAGGACCACCAGCCACTCGATGACCCCTTGACGCTTGCTAACGAGGAACTCGAGGTGGTTGATCAATTCACTTATCTTGGCAGCTGCATCAGCAATGATGGGCGCATAGAAACTGACGTGAGCTCACGCATTGCAAAGGCCAGAGCTGCCTTCTTGAACCTGCGGCATCTTTGGCGACAGAAGGGAGTTTCCCTCCGTCTGAAAGGCCGTGTATACAAGGCCACAGTGAGGGCCGTTCTGCTGTATGGTAGTGAGACTTGGCCCCTTCGGTCTGAAGATCTGAGGCGCATTCAAGTCTTTGATCATCGTTGTTTGCGAAGCATTGCTGGTGTCGGATGGCACCAGCGTGTCCGCAACGATGATGTGCGTAGGCGAGTACTAGGTGGTGATGATCATGCTAGCTCTCTAGAACAACAGATAGCACTGAATAAGTTGCGTTGGCTCGGGCACGTGCTACGCATGCCTGATCACCGCTTACCCAGGAGGGCCTTGTTCAGTCTTCCAGGTGTAGGATGGCGCAAGGCTCGAGGTGGACAGAAGTTGACTTGGCAGCGGGAAATAAAGTCACTGACGACCACACTGGGTGCCGTTGGTCCGTCTCGCCTTCCGGGTTGGAGTCCACGTGACTCACCTTGTGCTTGGCTCGAGACTTTACAGGACATGGCTCGCAACCGACACCAGTGGCGCGTCTGCTGTCGTCTCCTAATCGGATTATCTGTTTAAAGTGTGTTTGGTGCTGAGTTATCTGCGGGGTAATGGCTGATTATGACGCGTGGCAGTGAAAGTCGCAAGGAAGCTGTCTCGCCGATGCCGCCTTATCTTTGCACGATAGCCAGCTGTTTGTGACGGAATGTATTCTACACAAGGTGTAGGCGCCTTGACCCTGAATGTTTGCTTAGGGCATTAAGGTTTTCAGGTAAGTCCCCCTTCTCTCCCTCTTCTTATTCTTTATTTCATAGTTCCTCATGGTTGTATGGCAGCGAAGTATCAGTTCAAATGGCTGATGTACTGCTGTTGATGATGATGATGCCAGAGCATGTTGCAAAATAGGATCTGTTCATTTGTGGGCTCGGTTTCTCGGTGCCACACGAAATATACCTTTTTCTTTTTCTTTTTCTTCTTCTTATTATTATGAAGCGGATGCGACAGGAATGCAGCCTGCTAGCCACGTACTATGATCTCGCGAACAAAGCACAAGGCTGGTCACGCGGACTCCAGCCTGGAAGGCGAGACGGACCGATAGAACTCAGTTTGGCCGTCCGGGACTCCATTTCCCGCTGCTAAGTCAACTTATGTCTACCTTAAGCGTACTATCACTACGTCTGACCGAATAAACAAGACACTCCGAGTTAAGCAGATGCCGTGCTTACATATTACATGCCCGAGCCAACACAAGTTGTTCATCAGCATCTGTTGTTCTAAGGAGCCAGCAGAGTTATCACTGCAAGTATGGCAACTCGAGAGATAACATTTAGAAACTTACAGAATAATAGAGCTGGATGAACGACCACAGAAATATCTTTTCTCTTCGTGTATGTCATCCGTGGAGTATCCTCCCTGAAGCGGTCGTATCTGCACTGGCGCTAGCCTTATTCAAGTGTTAGATGACACAAAAGGTGTTTACACTTTGTTACTTAGCAATGTAGCTGGATTTATTAGCTATCACCCACCAGTGCTGTGAAACTGTGCGGACGGCAGGACAACAGAATTTAAAACATAGGTCTTTTGTGGCACTAAACCACCAATTGTTTTATAACTTTGCCCGATAACACCACTAGATCACCCAATGGGACTTGTACAGCAATGCTTCTTAACACGTAGACATGCATTTTTCTGTCACTGAATGACCATACTGTGTAGCAGCTCAACCATTTTCGTTTGGCAATTTCTCTCAAGCTACCTCCGTTTTTGTGAACGCTTCGCGTCCTAATTTTGACTGTTTATGAGTTTTCGATACTTCACCTCAGCGCATTTCACTGCGGCTATTTGGATTTTGCTTTGGTATTCTTAATTTACTTGGTGTTCACTTCGCATAATAATAGTCTTATTATTGTCAGCGGCTGTTTGTCACTTTGAGCACATCCAATTCCCACTGGCGGCCGATATCTGATACTCACTTGACCAGGAAGAAGGACGTGTATTGAGTTGTTGTTCTCACAAATGAGCCGCATGGAATATCAGGTTGAAGCATATTTGATGAAAAGAGTGACACATAGGTAAAATCATCAGTGTTAGGAGGCCTTTCGAATTAAATAGTTTCATTGCCTTCTCAGTCTTTTTCTATAACACATGGTAGCTTGTAGTGACCATTATGAGGCCATTTGAGTGGACATTTCGAATGCAAAATGGAAAAACTGAAGTAAAATGTGCTACATCGAAAGGACAATGTTTCACATGCTGTGATTCACTTGTGTTAACATGTATCACGGCTCGCATGTGTGGGAATGTTCGAAACGATAGTCATCCAGTCGTGGATTGGTTGCTGCTAGCCTGAAATAAATCAATCGTCCGCTGCGTTCGGGAAGCGGATTGGTGCCACAACTGGTTTGTTTTGCTTGATCAATTCTGCCCAACGAATGTAACTCACTCGCAAGTTCTGTGATAATGACAGATGCGGAATGACATGGATTGACGGCAAATAAATTGTAAACTGCATAAACACAATCCGGAGTTAATAATGAATTGTGCCCGAGTGTTATTTGATGATATTTGGTTGGGGGTCTCATTATTTTTAGTCCCTGGTGCGAAGGGTGGTATCTTACGTCCAAGTCGTTGGTTTACTTACTGGCCAATAATAAACAGTAAAACCACCAAAGTTGGCCAATTCTTCATATTGACCATTTTTTCAAAGCTTGAACGGTCACTATGTAAACTTATGGAACCAGACCTTTAGATGTTTACTACCTCTGTAAGTTGTATGTTGACCACTTGGGCTAGGAGTCAGTAATAATTCAACCTTCATAAGTTGACAATTTGAGGGGTCACCGTCCAATGGTTCCCGAACTGCTCTTTTCTTCCTAAAACACGATATGCAGAGCGGCTTCTGACCCCCAAATCAGGGAACTTTACTTTCGAGGATGCAGCATGTTCTCTGTGTGTATAGGTACTTACGCCTTTACACGCACGCGTATTACCTCGATCAATGTGTATTCCCAAAGATCCGTGCCCATAGAATAACCTAGAACGTTTTGCGATCAACCTCGAACCTGCCCACAGACAAACCTTCCTCTACCCCTAATAACATCGGTCCACTCATTGCAACCATCAGTTTCAGTGACTGGAAAACCCACGATCAACCACCAGATCAAAGCTATAGTTCATTAGCACCTTAGATTGTGGCGAGATTGACATTTACGCTCACATTAATTGTCGAGTGTTTATCCGGCTGTATCTGATGTCCGTCTGAGAGTGAAACCCATTGCGGTTAGTTGTTATAAGTGATTAATGTTGCGTAAATAGAATCCTAGACCTTAGATGTACTCCGTGCTTGGAACATTTTAGTATCGGTCATTATGACTAATTCAACCTTATGGCCATAAGAAAAGACCTCAGAGAGTTAACTTTGAAGGAAAAGATTAGTCTACTACATTTTGTGGAACGTAGTAGCCAAAGAAAGATGGCAGAGCGTTATGGCATTAGTATGGCAACAGTTAGCAACATCCAAAGACATTAAACACGAGTATTTGGAGAGATATAATAGTGAAAGAGGAAATCGACAGAGGAAGAGGCGGAAAACTTCACACGATGGTCAATGAGGTTACAGTGCACTTGTTCAAGTAAATGAGAGCAGCTAACACTGGAATTTTTGGGCCGATGATCAAATAAATTACCAGTAGGTGCTCACAAGAAGTTGTGGTTGCAGATTTCCAGGCATTCAATAGCTTGCTTGAGAAATTTATACCCCGCCATGAAATTTTCCAGAGTTTTGTGTGGTGAATTCAATGAATGGCCTGAAAAGTTCCTTCAAGACCACTTAACAAATTTCAAACAATGATGACATTTACAACACTGACAATTGCGGTCTTTATTTCAAAGCGATCCCTAACAGCATCCTTGTAATAAAAAGTGATAAATGTAAGAGCGGAAAAGATTCCAAAGAACATTTCACAGTTCTGTTGTGCGCCAGCTCAAGTGGGGAGATGCTAAAGCCCCTAGTCATTGGTAAATCAGCTAGACCACGTGCGTTCAAAAACCTAAATCCTGCAAAACTTCCAATCACCTGGAGATCAAACGGATCTGCGTGGATGACTGCTGCTATATTTAAGGAGTGGATCAGAAGCATCGATAAAGAAATGATGAAGGAAAAGCACTTCATTTTCCTAACAACAGACAACTGTCCTAGTCACACCCATGTAAAAAATCTCACCAATATTACGCTTAGGTTTCTCCAAACATGACAACAAATTCAACCTCTGGATCAAGGGATCATCAAACTGTACAAAATGCACTACCGAGGCCAGCTCTTGCAATGGGCTATGGCAAAATTACATACTAATGATTGTCATGAGGAAGTAACTTCATCTGTTGTTTCAGTTAATGCCTTTGATCTTATGCATTGGATAAGTTCCGATTGGTTCAAAGTTCAACCAAAAATAATACGGAAGTGTTTCAGGAAAGCCGGATTCATTCAACCTCTCCAGCGGGATGCCATCGTCTTACTAGACATTCCATCCACATTAGCAGGAATCGACGGAAAAGATTTTAAAGAGTTTGGTGAACTGGATGTTGACTTGATGATTTGCACTGACCAGATCCAGAGGCTATTTTTCAATCGATACTTACTGCGGTACTCCGTCACGGAAACAAAGAACAACCAGCTGATGACGCTGATGAACAAGAAGGACTGAATGACCGTGCTTTGGAAAGAACAGAAACTTCAAAAGATGAAGTCAACCACCTGTTAATGCGACTGAAGTCATTTGCTGTAGAGACATCAAAGTATACTGAGTAGTGTGGTTTGTGCGGAGAGCGCTTTTTTAAGGTACTAATGTGAGCAGAGAAACAGATAAAGATTGACATTTTCTGCAAAAATTGAGTTAACTTGCGAAATGAACACTACATTTTCCTTTATTATGACACTTAATATTTGAACTGCGTTTGCCGTTACGTGATACCTTGTCTAATGTGTTCGAAACGGAATTATATGAGAATAACTTTCCTAATGTCCTGTGTGTCTACCGAACGGTCGCAAAAATAGTGCCCTCCTGCGGTATTCGCCATTAAATCTTCGGATTTGTTCTCACAGAGACCTACGTGCTCCGTGAGCTCCTCCCACCACTGTTCATCTTTTGGATGTCATTCGAGGATCACCAGCGAACTGTGCTTTTGCAATTTCGAAGTCAACCGTACACGAATCTTATCGGAGAATTTATTTTTCCTCTCGTCGCACAAGAACTCTTGTGCTATTATTTTAGAGATCTTTTTGAGAGTCACCCGAACATCTTACTAACATTCCTTCTAGTCGCTATACAAAGCGACAGTTGTCAATTTGGTCCGCCCTTGGAACAGCCGCTGTCGTCATTAGACAGTATTTTCCAAGTCATCTTACTTTGCCTCAATCCTACGCTGCATCGCTGCCTATCCACTTACCGGCTGGATCGATAGCACGCACGTCGCCTACCTACCCTAAGGAACATGTGACTCATCTGGACGCGACACATCCGACCCCTCTGACCTCAAACCAGCGCCAATTGCCATGCAACCAAAAGTGAAGTGAACTCATACCGGTGCGTCAGTATCTCTGTCCTCTTGCTACCCCTGTTGTAGTGTACATGCAGTTGCTCCATTCCATCTTGTTATTGTGGCATCTTTACACTATCTCACCACCATCTGCGATCATTCCCAGTTCGTTACCCCATTACTGACCGTGACCACATATTTCAGTAGAACTATTCCATTCTAACCTAGTGGTAAGTAGATAAGTGCGAGAACTACAACCCATATCCTGAACTCTCCTTTTCTATTTAATCCCTTTTGTAATTGGTACAAGTCACAATGACAAACTGCACGCTTCAAATGGAAATCGCCGATTCGAAGTCAATTGTGACCTATGTGTAAAAACCGTTAAGTTTGGTCCAGTTTACTTTAACTGCTTAGAAATGAGTGTATTTGCAACTAAACAATCCAGCAGCAAAACCGAAGCATTTTGGTTCTGCCAGGTATGTAAATCCATCCCTGTTGTTAGTGGTGTAATTTTCCTAATGAAAAAGTGTGCAAACTTGGCTTAAACAGATGAGCAACTGGTGAACGCTAGCAACGCTCCTGTGCAAGTAAACAATGCTACACTTACATTTGAACGAACACCTACAAACTCCTCCTTTAGGTCGAAGAAGAGGGCCAGGCGTCCCAACATCACCACATCGTCTCAGTCTCTCTAACGGCCTCTAGCCACATGACTCCACTAAGTGAAAAAGTCGTTTCCAACGCTTCCACTTTTACTTTCTTCAAAGGTGTAATAACTAGCAATTCAGTTGATATACTCGAAACATAAACTCAGCAAAGCCTACGGTAAAGAATAACTGGACATCCTACGCAGCGGTTGCTTTTAGGAAAACGCCGTCAGACACCTGTAAGTCCACTTACCGGAGAGGGCAAAACCGTGCCTCAACATGGATCACCATCGCCAGAGCCGTCCACAAATCCACAAAAAACAGAAGAACCTAGTGCCCTTAAGTTGCGAAACACAAGGAGGAATCATGGTGCCTTAAGTCTTGTGTGCCCTAACCTTCCTGAATCCAAATCCAACACAATAAAGGGTAAACTGATAGACGATCGTAGTCAGTGGGATTCCACCTGTAGTGCCATCAGGATGCGTGCTGAACCCACTAAGCTGAGACGCATCCCACGACACCCAAACCTCTTACACTATGGTGAGCCTCGACTACTTCGAGTAACACTACATTATGTGGAAGAAAAGGAATCCATTTTGCTCGCTGTGAATCGACACCATAGAGCATCAATCGGATATTCCCTAGCAAGAAATTACAAAGAATATGAACAATCAACAGGGAAGCAGAAAAAACGAGCTGAAAACCGTCATCATTAATGGCTTCCCCGAGTCTCAAGCTTCATCACCTGAAGAAGCTCAGTCACATGACATGGAGCAATGGAGATACATTTGTGAGGCGCTGTCTTTAGAAAATGTCATTGCTACCTTCCTGAAAAGGATTCTTGTGTCCCCAAATTACAAAGAGTGTGGTCCTAAGTTGGTAAAGTTGATCTTACCATTTTAGCTAAAGTTACAGAGAGTGCTAGATAACTGGGATAACGTCCGGAACATGCTGCCAACAGAAATTGGACTAAAAGCAGCAGGTTTACGACCAGAGACTACTGGTTACTCAATGGAGAGAACCAACTCAGTGGGAACACCCGTTGTTGCAGAGTCCACCACAGAGACTGATCTGACAGCCGTCATAGCATCCGGCGAGATAACGCAGGAGGTGAGTGACCATCAGGATCATCATGAACCCGATTGTATGGTGCAGAGAGTTACTCCAAGTGCTTCTCGCGAGCCGAAGCTTATTCAAAAATTCGAGTAGCGCCCGACCTCACAAGGGTCGGCCAAGTCTCAAACTTGTTGTCTACATCCACAAACAA